AGACCTTCGAGTACGACGACGATGGCGGACGCAAAGTGAAGACTACAGTGAAAGAGTACTTCCAGAAGGCGTACCCCAATGTGGCCGTAAACGATAGGGAGTTCCCGTGTCTCATACCGCAGGCCAACAAGACTATATACCTGCCGATGGACGCCTGCTACCTGTTCCCGGATCAGCCCGTGTCCAGAGGCAAACTGGACGCGTATAACACGTCTAAAATGGTGCGCGAGTGCGGTATGTATGGCCTATTGGTTCAGTAGTTTGTTTTTAGTTAATCTGTTGGCGATTGAATGGTGTGTTTAGTAAACACTTGTGAATAATTTACGATCAGTTTTCAGTGTCGTATACAGAGTTTTACTCATTATTAATGAGTTTTTATAAGTAATCGATATTTTATAGCGAGATTTAAATTGAATTTTTTATTTATTATCGATTTATGTTTTGCAAATTTTTTACCGTATGTTTATTTTTGACTGTAATTTTAATATACACTACTATTTTGCACTTATAATAACACTTTAATTGAGTGATTAATTAAATTACAATCGCAATCAGAGCTAACCGTCCCATTACTCACACACACACATCCCGTTCCCTCCCATCGTAGGCACCAAATCTCCCGTCGAACGCTTTGATGCCATTATGGACGCCGTGACCACAATCAAGGCGGCGTCGGAACGGTATCTAATGGAGTTCAACCTGGACATCGACACCCATCCCGTGCAGATACCGGGCCGCGTACTGAACCCGCCGGCCACTAAGGGCCTGGACCGTCGCCAGGGGCTGGCTATGCACCGGACGGTGTCGCTGAGGCACTGGGTGTTCGTTAATCTGTGCGAGCGTTTCGTGGACGACAGGGCTGTCGGGGATTTCGTGAGCGGACTGTGCGGACAGGCGGCTCGAGCCGTGGGTATGACCGTCGAGCAGCCGACTAAGGTGTTCCGGTACGACCGCACCGGCCCACGAGATATCGCTAATATCTTTGTGGGCGCGCGGACTGAGTGCCGCAGAAAGGGAGGCGCCCTACAGATGATACTGTTTGTCATACCCGACGATAGTGTCATTTATAACGCTATTAAACACGTGGGCGACTGTAATGAGGGTATTGTCACGCAGTGCGTGAAGTCCAAGAACGTCGCCCGTCCACCGAAAGGTATGTCCTCTTTTGCTAACTAGCCTAACATCTCATGCATGCACGCATACAAACCTAACCTAACCTAACACCTTACTCATCCTAACCTGACCTCTCTCTCTCTCTCTCTCAC